GTATGCAGCAGTAATTATTTATCATCGAAATGAATGAACGGATCGTTGCGGGATCGACTGTCCCATTGGCCAAGTCGAATTCTCGACTTACTGCAGTAGCAGCAGTTTTGCTTCTCACTGCGCTATGCCCATATTGGGGTTAAGGGGCAAAAAAAATATTATTTTTAATACACTGCGATTACAGTTCAATAATTGCTTACAGGGTCACTACACAGAATTCATAGAAGTCCATGTATCTGGCACTGGCTATAAGACGAATGAGCCAAACTTCGCAGCTCTGGATAGCGCAGTGGCAGAGCTAAACAGCACCGAATATAGTAGCAGTCGAAACGGATGCGCCAAATTTCCCACTGATGACCTTTCTTCGCTTTCTCCAGTCAGCAAAAAAGAAGGTAAATTTGACACTTTGTGTTTATTTACGTGAAAAAACACACTGAAAAACTCTATTTGCGTTTTTGTCTACCTCTGCACTTCTTGGCAGACTAGCTAGACAACTAGCTTTCAGCTGTACTTTAGCAGAAGTCCCGCGAAAAGCCGGCGGTTGTTAAAAGGATGTGCTACACGGGCTTCCTACCAGATGATACAGAGCATGTAGAAGGATGTCATAAAGGTTATAAGTGCACGCAGCTGCAACGTGTAGCATAAGGTGGCAGTACAGAAATTTAGTACGGCCGGTCCGGATATGAAGGCGAGTGCTTCGATTTCTTCTCAATACACAACCCTTTTCAAGAGGGGTCTTCACCCGCGCTTTCGGATTCCTAATATCAGCCTTCTCAGTTCACTGGATTTCGAGTTGTAATTTCAAGTAAAGGGGACAGCCAAGCAAAAGAATTGCGCAAAAATGCTTGCATTTACTAGTGCCGTGCACGCCGTCATTAATAAATTTAAAATAGAATGTCAACACTTACGAATGGAAAAAATACACACAAAAGTTTGACTGTGGCATTTTTATGAAAAAAAGCCGAGGATGGTCAGCAAGATTTCAGTCCCACTTTTTTTTTTTGCAAAAAGCGCATGCTTGCGTGGATTCCTTTCGGTGTAGCGCTATATAATATTTTGCTTCAAGGATACTGCTGTGGACGCAATAACGCATAAACTGGGAACGGATAGCTCCGTACAGGGAGGCTTAAAGACGCATGCTTGTATCGCAGCGGGTGCTTGGTTCCGATGATTAAGATGATTTTGATTAGTAGGAAATTGATTGTGTCAAGAAAACCGTGATCATTCGGGTTACCAGTATAAGTATAGCATGTTAGTGGTCCACATTCTAGTAAGCTATACCAGGCCCTTCGATATTGTGCTACAAACTTCTAGATAATATCCACCACTTGCACATAATGTATGCTCCACCTCCTTGGAAGTCGTCTGAGTGGTCGTTTATTGAAAATTAGTTGTTTATTTCTAAGTTGCTTTCTTAGACTGTTCACCCAGCAAAAATGCAAAACAAACAAAAAGTTTGGATGCTAAAAAAAAATGATGGTGTACTTGGTATAAACAAGAATTATGTGAAAAAATCAGGCAAACGTGTTGTTGTTTTTTTGCCTTCCAGTTCCGCAGCCCACTTCATCATCATCGCTATCAATCACCAATGATGCTATCTTGTCACTGGCGCATAGTCCAAGTCCTGAAGCTACAAGCGATGCGAGCTCGAGCTATAGCGCTCCAACTGGGTTGCCACATCCAAAACCAAAACATAATATCCGCGAACAACTGATACAAGCTGGATTTGAACCGCGCGGAAGTACGTTTGAACTAATTTCTTCCCCTCTGCATTCGTTAGCCTCGCTTTTTTTACACATCTCTAAAAGCGCCAGGAAGACCCTTCAACAAACGGGAATTTTTTTACAAGGCGTTTACAAGTTCTCCTCCCCCTTCTCCTTCTGTTTTTTAGTCAATATAAGTAATGAAATGTGATTTCGTGAATTTTACATTCTGAAAAAGACATTTTCTGTGAGCAGAATTTTGGCAGTTCAATCGGCAATGAAAACAGTGACTGAGTTGGCTGTCGATGTGGGCTGCTTAAAAAAAAATAAAATGACGGCGGTCTGAGCACCTGACAAGCATAGGTAGGAAATCGTTATTTTACGTTTGAAATGAAGCGACAAGTATTGGAACTTTGGGATTTCGTGTTTGTGAAATTCCAGGATCTCAGCTCCTAATTCTAAGTATTATTTACGAGGTAAGAGTTCAAATCAAGAACTAGTCACAATCTTATTCAGCGATTACTAATTGGCTCCAAAACAATTTATGCATAAGTTTTGTGTGTTTTAGCAACAATTTATGTGAATCGTAATGCTGTGCGTTTTGGGAGTGCGCCAAATTTCCCGGCGCCGTCAAGTGGTGGTGTCGCATCGCGCATTTCCGAATTCGAAAAAAGGCCTGGCACTCCAAATTTGCTGCAAATAGCCTGTGCCTTAAATGGCACCGAACAGAGACGTAATGAGGTAAGCGCACCTGTCTTGTAACTTCGACTTATTTTTCTTTTCGAATGCTTTAAGCATCACTCTAACATTCTAGAAATATCAAGATCTCCCCATTACGAGTAGCCCATGTTATTGATGTTACTGGGATGCTCCCAAATGCCTGAAAAATCTATGCCAGTGACATTTTTGGGTGTCTAAGCAGAACGAACCATAAACTGTCAACAAAACTAAGGACCAAATAAACCAAAATTATAAAGCAAAGAAAAGCTGTTTAAAAATTTTGCCCTCGAAAATAAAATGAAAATTATCGGTTCATCCGAAGTTACGCCTCCTCTTTCTGCTTTCCACACCGCTTTTTGGCTAAATTCAAACTTTCAGTTATTAAAATTTTTTAATTCCTTACCCCCATCCCATCTCCAGCCACTTCTTAGTACAAGATTTTGAATGAATTTTTTATGACTGTGATGAAGATGGATGGGGGGATTAGCACCACTCTTTTAAAGCCCCATTCAAAATGGTCAAAAACCAAACTCATTTTTGACAATTAATTGCAACTGTCCTACAGTCTAAGCTAATAACAGTTTTACGACCCACCCAGGTAGTCTTTCTTTCATACAAGGATGTAGCAAAGTTATGCTGTAGCGGGCGTACCCAGCAAATTTCCGAAAAACATGGGAGTATTTTCCTGGTTCTACGGAGCCGGAGAAAAACTCAGGAGACAAGGGCTGGATGAAGTTTTGTGCTAGCTATGTGTTTGACACTATGGAACAGCAGCTGATCGTTACCAGTCAATGCTGTTTCTCGCCTCTGACGACATCCGATATCAACAACACAGATATTTATCAACAAAAAAATGCTTCGCTCAACAGCTGCACTACAAATTTTCAGCAGAATTTTTTACACGCTCCTGATTTATTACGTTTTTAAGATTTTTTTTCCAGTGGCCCTCCGAGTTGACTGTTTGCACATATCCTTGACAAGATGAAGCAGTTCCTGTATGTAGCAAGCACTGTACAGATATTGTACAAGTAGATATTGTACAAAAAAAAAACAGTTAACAAAGAATTGGTAGTAATTGCTTAGTTACATTTCGCTAGGAGTAGAATCCGTGAAACATCGAGAGGTTTGTAGGAAGAAACGTCAGAAATTTCCATGCTTGTTCGTTCGTTTGCTTGCTATTTTTTGGCTCAGTAGTTGGAGGAAAGTATTTTTAAACTTTCGAAATAAGCCCTGTATTGTATTGAGAACTCACTGGAATTTTGTTACACTGATTTATTTCTTGAATTTTGCCCGAGAAATTTG